CCACTATGGTAGCTGAGTTTGTAGCATGCTATGAGGCGTCTAATCATTGATATGGCTGCGAAAATTTATCACTGGGCTGCAAATTATGGATGACATTGAAAGGCCACTTAAATTATTTTGTGATAATAAGTTAGTAGTATTGTATTCCAATAACAACAGGAGTTCGACGGAGTCAAAATATATAGACATCAAGTTCCTAGTTGTTAAAGAAAGAGTTCAGAGTGGACTTGTGTCTATAGAGCATATTAAGACAAACTCCATGATTGCGGATCCGCTGACTAAGGGATTACCACCCAAGATCTTTCATGAGCACACTGCTCATATGGGTGTTCTATATCTTCAGTATATGTCATTTTAGTGGGAGTTTGTATTTTAGATGCTTTTATTTGTAGCCATATTTGTTATGATTTTATGGATAATATATGGTTATTTACTGCAGTATAAAGTATTCAGTTCATATTCACTCTAGTTTTTGGTATGGTTTGATCTCACTAAGATTTTAAGGTGAACCAGTTGGAAATAGACATGTTAAGATCACACTACATAAAATTTCCATGCTACACATCTATACTTGATCTGTGTTGTTGGTTGTATTGATATATGTGACCATTGATGGGTCTAGTTGTGACAAATGTAATAAAGATCGCTTTGATCTGATGTTAGTATAACTGATAGATGAGATTTTTAGGATTGCATTTTGTTTGATAGCAAAATTCATAAGCTCATAAGGTTATATCATAACTCATATCTACATAGTAACATATATGGCCCAATTGGGAGATTGTTGGGTTTAAATCCAGTATATGGGTCGATATATTAAATAGATATATATTATGTGCTATCAAGTAAGGTTAGCCCATTAAAGTGATGTGATTAGGGTTTGAGCTTTTAATGCATAATTAAAATATGTGCCTCATATGTGTAGAGACCAAAATATAATTGTTAATTCTATGATTGACTGAATTGATAATTATGAGTAACTGATAACAGTTATAAAATAGGGTTGTGGTTCCCCAAATCTCTACGTAGAATCTCTTTCTGATTTTCCATCTTTAGAAGTATTAGGGTTTCTCTAAGGAGGATATATACATAGAAGATTTGGAAGATCTACATCTCAAAAAACTCAAAAATCACCTCCTACTCCATGGATTCAGGTATTGTTCCGCATCTTCTTAATTATTTCAATAGTTTGACATGAACAATCTTGAGATTAATTAGGGTTTTATCTATTAAAGCAAAAGTTTTCTTTTGATCTAACAGCGAGCCCACACAATGCAAAAGACATCTTATTTGACGAATTAACTAATTTAAACATCTCTTATCCTATTAGATTAAATAGATTGTTATTTTCTTTCTTTAAGCCTTTTGCCCAATTGGATCTTATGATATTGAAATTGAAAATTTTTAGAAAAACGCTTGAAATTTGGGTGATTCATATAGAGAGACTATGTAACTCAAAAATCAAAGAGAAAACCCCACTAAAACTTTTAGAAAGTTTCACGAGATCCATGAACTTTCAAAAAGTTCGCCTAGAAAAGTATCATTTAAGAAAACTTACCCGGCTCTCACAGTAAAACCATAAACACAAAATTACCTTCCCCATGTTTCCCTTTCCTTACATTTTCAGGTGAAAATTTTCAAAAATTTGGAACCTTATGTGGAATTCCTCAAAGGTCGGGAGACTTTTATCAGAATTTTGGAGTTTATGGTTTTTTTTTGTGAAAACAACTCAAAAAATTTGGGCTTTTTCTAATTTACTCACTAAAATATCCATTAGACTTTATGACGCTCATAATTGTTGACGTCAGTTATCAAATAAGGAGTTTACGTGTGAATTATTAAGGGTGTTAGGGCCCTCAATCTCCTTTAGATGGTTGATTTTTGGGTCGAGAATCATGTCCTGCACATGAAAAATACATAAGAGGTCAGAGTTGGGATCTCTGGTAGTTCCTTCGATAATTAAGTCAGTTGAAAGATTGAGTGAAGAAGAAAGAATTAAAGTGTTTGCTTTTTTAGCAAGAAGTTTGCTTACCCTAGGCATCAGATATCGGTTTCTTTTTATAGCAAATCCGAGAGGTAGATATGTAACTTCGGCCGAGTCAAGCTGGTGGCTCAGCTGTCATTTGCTTTACAGGTGTCAACTGCTGAGGGAGGTTAGTCATGTAGGCGTTTAATGTGAGGGTGACAGAACATGCATGACGCTAACAAGATCCGATGAGTCATAAAGACTTTCAGGGCTGAAGAAATAATGATTCTGATCATTTATTAAATGTGTTGGCAATCAGCTATTGATGTGGGGCTCGACGACACACTGCCTTCTGACTCGACTTCATGAGAGAGACGACATACAATGTTTCTTGGCTCGATTCTAAGAGTGTGCCGATAAGTACCGCCTTTTTAGTCCGCCTCGCAAGTTGTCGCCCCAAACTAGTGAGAATGCTCCTCAACTTGACAATTCTTGAGAGCTAGGCTGTTTGAATTATCCTGGTTAGAGCAAAGCCGAACTGGGACACATGTCGACTCTAGGAAAATGATCAACATTTAAATTATTTGTCGAATATAACAAAATTGGATATATAATAGTGATGACTATAGTATAGGAGTTATAGTGATAGGAGTTATATATAATAGTGATGACTGTACTATAAGAGTTATGTTATCTTATACTAACACGTTTATATATAACTAGTATAAAGTACGTGCGTTGCACGTGGACTTACTTGTCATATTTTCTAATGCACTCTCCAATGGTGCCATGCAAAATATTCCAAAAATTAAGGATATGAGGTATCACTTCCTTAGGTGCTTTTTTGTTTCTCCTTTTTTTTCTCCTTTTTTTTTCTTGTTATTATGTTGATAGTTTTACGAAAATCACCAATAAGTTTTATAAGATATTCCCTTATAATTTTGAATATAATTTAATGGTTACTCTTAAGACATGATTTTTTAAATTTTTTTTTTATTTTGTTGTATTTGTCTTTCATTAAACCATCACATAATATCATCACTAAAATTAACATGACGAGAGCAGGTTTTTAATGTGAAATTATACTATTCAGACATATAAAATTTTAAATTTGCAATTTTTTATACTTTGTATTCAAGAAAAAATAACTTTTAATATACTGAGCAATCTGTTTAACAATGATCACGAAAATTCTGCATTTTTTAATTCATTTAATAATATCAACTCTTTCATACTTCCTAAACACTTGATTTCTAGACCTCTTGAAAGAAAGATACAACAATGTAAACATAAAAGAGAGAGCCAACAAAAATGATTTTTTTTTCTAGCAAAACCTTGTTGAGAATCAAACTGAAAGTACTTCGCCTCAATATAAGTCAAATCTTCAACAATTGCATGCACCATCATCCTCCAAGCATCCATTAATGGCTGCATTTTCATCCTCGAATGTTGTCTACCACACCCCAACTCCTTCTTCACTCTTGACATCATCACATTATCCATTGTCATCATTTCTTTCACAAAAGAACTTCCTCCAACTTCCACTAGCCTCTAAGATTATATATATAGTTTGGAACTTGTAGATATGAGATTTGAAAGTTTAAAATAAGATACGGACAAAAATAAATGCTTAATTTGACAAAAGTGAAGAAAAAAGGCTACCAATGAAGAAAGAAATAGGAGGGGAAAAAAAGTTATTCTAATGTTCAAGTTTTAGAAAAATTATTCTTTTTCTATTCAAATAAAAAACTCTATGTATTAATTAATAAATTTCTCAAGCAAAAAAGTTATTCTCATGTTCAAGTAAAAAAGAGCATCTAAGTGAATTAGAAGTAAATCTTGTACCTTAATTGTCGAAACCTAATTTTCATAAATTTGAAGATACACGATGCTAGCTCTCCAAAAAAAAATCAAGCTCTACCCTACAAACTTTGAGAAAAATAAGAATTAAAAAAATAAATTTGAAGATACAGTGCTAGCTCTCCAAAAAAAATCAAGCTCTACCCTACAAACTTTGAGAAAAATAAGTATTAAAAAACTAGTCTTGTATCATTGCATTCATTTAATATTGAAGATGCATGGTGCTAGCTCCAAAAAAAATCAAAGTCTAACCTGCAAATTTTGAGAAAAATAATAATTACAAAATAATTGAATTTTATGAGAAACTATTGTGCAGAGTTGAGACCTTTGAAATCGTGTAGAGTTGCATTTGAAGTGGAATTAGTATATATAATGTTTATAACTGACTTTGTTAGTAATAATTGTTAACGGAAATAATTATTGTTATTTTTAGTAACAAAAATAAAGTTAATGAAAGAGATTAATATGTTGATGGGAGGTTACAAAAATGTAGACAAATGAAAGTGAGTTTGAACTTATATCGGTTGAAACATGAAATGTCTTTAACCATTATGCGTGAGTATTTAATATAAAACATTCATTTTTTTTTGGGGGAGGGGGGGGGGGGGGGAACGTCTTTAACCATTCCGTGTGAGTATTTAATATAAAACATTCATGTTTTTTGGGTTATGAATATGCATTTAATTTGGGGTTATGTATGTAAGGGTATAGTTTATGTATGGATGTATGTATTTTATATATGCATGTATATGTTTAAAAAGACATGCATTTAATTGAGGCTTATTACGTATGTATGAGTATTGTTTATGTATGGATGCATGTATTTCATGTATGTATGTATATGTTTAAAAGGACATTTTTGGAAGAAATGTTTTAACATGACTATTAGATTTTAGAATAGTATTAGATTGGCCCTAAATACAAGATGGTTTCTTAAAAAAAAAATTCCTTTTTAACCAAAATATAATAAATACTTTCCATATTCTTTTTCATCCTTAAAAAGGTTCATTGCACAGGTATTGAGTGGAAATCACAAAAAGGCAACAATCGTGCTCTGACCAACTTGGTCCATTGGACTTGCCCATTCCGGCCCGGAATAAAAATTATAAAAAAACAAAAAGTAGGGGCACTTCCGTCTATTCGCAGCTCTATTCTGCTCTCCGAAACAAATCCCGTCCGTCTTCTTCTCTTTCTTTCATTTATTTTCATCCCCTAAATTTTTTTGCTTGCCCAAAAGGGGGAAAAAAGTTCGAGCTTTTACTCAATTAGGGTTTTATAGATTAAATCTTTGGATACGTTGTACGCGTTTCTGGTCGTTCGAATTCGTTAGGGCTGCCAATTCGCAGCGGCTGTAGGTAATGATTCGATCCCTGTCCTTTTTCTGTTATGATGATTTTGTAAAGCAATCATTGCTTCCGTTGATTTTTTTTTTCGTGTGTGGTCCGTTTCTGTCGAAATCCGATCTTTGAAGAACTGTAAAGTATTTTTGCTGTTTAGGGAGTGATCTCGATTATGTTTTTGTCGGAATAATTTAATTAGATCATAATTGCATGGGCCGTGTTTTGATGATTGAAAGTTTGATTATTGAATTGGATGATTTTGGAACCATATGAATTTCTTTTTTTTTTGTTATTTAGATTTAGTACTAGTTTTGGAAATTTTACTAAATTATTTAGATTTAGGGTTGTTAAACAATGAGAATCACGGTCATTCGATGAGTATGCGACTTTAACAGGATCTTTTTTTTTTGTGATAGTTGTTGGTCTTTAATACTTTGATTATGTAATTTTTTATAATTGAATTAATTATTGTATGGTGCTAGATATTAGAAGACGTGTCATGAAACTGAATTCCAAGTTTTAGTATATGATCATTATCAGTAGAACTTCCCACTCTTCCTTTCGGAGAATTTTTTTGATTTAATTCTATCGAATAGATTCTCATTTGCAATTAGTCAGATGCCTGTGGTGAAATATTCTTATTTTCTATATAATTTTCATTTCGGTCTGTGCCTTTTGGCAGGACCCAAGAACTCTTAGGATGATCATAAGAAAGAAGAGTTTCTTGCTAGGTTGAGACAAGAATTAGATCATTAAGCAATAATCTGCTAGCATGGAGCAGCTCATGATGATCGAAAATGGGCTGGGTGGTGATAGTTCAGACTTTGATGTCGACGATGTCAGGTGCGAAAACCTTGCAGAGAATGATGTAAGTGAAGAAGAAATAGAGGCTGAGGATCTAACTAGAAGAATGTGGAAGGACAAAGTTAAGCTTAAGAGACTTAAAGAGCGACAAAAGCTTGCTCTCCAGCAGGCAGCTAAGAAATCCAAGCCCAAGCAGCCCTCTGACCAAGCTCGGAGAAAGAAAATGTCTAGAGCCCAGGATGGGATTCTTAAGTATATGTTGAAGTTGATGCAAGTGTGCAACGCCCGTGGTTTTGTCTATGGAATAATACCCGAGAAGGGAAAACCGGTGAGTGGTGCTTCAGATAACATCAGAGCTTGGTGGAAGGAGAAGGTGAAGTTCGATAAAAATGGACCAGCGGCTATAGCAAAATACGAAGCAGAGAACCTTGCAGCCGAGAATGCAAAGAATAACGGAGGAAAAAATTGTTACAGCCTCATGGACCTTCAAGATGCTACATTGGGATCTTTACTATCGTCATTAATGCAACATTGTGATCCTCCACAGCGTAAATTCCCTTTAGAAAAGGGTGTTCCTCCTCCTTGGTGGCCTACGGGAAATGAAGACTGGTGGATAAATCTAGGGTTGCCTAAGGGCCAGATTCCCCCTTATAAAAAGCCACATGATCTAAAGAAAATGTGGAAGGTCGGAGTATTGACTGGCGTTATTAAGCATATGTCTCCCAATATTGAGAAGATAAGAACCCATGTCAGGAAATCAAAGTGTTTGCAGGATAAGATGACTGCGAAAGAGAGTTCTATCTGGTTGGGAGTGTTAAATGGAGAGGAAACAAGTATTCTGTTGCCTAGCAGTGAGAATGGGATGTCTGATGTGACGGAGAATCCACATAATTGCCACGATGAGAGAAGAGAGGATACTAACAGCAGTAATAACGAGTATGATGTTGATGACGCTCGTGACTCTATTTCATCGAAAGCTCCACAATCATGTAGAGAATTTGATGTTTCAACAGGTGGAGAGAATTCTCCAGCTGATGGTCCTATTCAAGCAACTAAAAAGCCAAGGAGAAAAAGAGCTCGTGTGAGTTCTAAAATTGTTGATCGTGACTCAGCAGGATCTCAAAATAGTCATTTAGAAGAACACCGAAGAAATTATATCCCTGATATGAATGATGCAGATTTACCTGCTATCAGTTATCATATGGGAAATGCTAACTTGGAGAATTATACAAATCCTTCTTCAAGTACTCGGGATAATCACAACGAGAATCAATTAATTGTTCCAGAGCCTGGAGTTGCTAATGCACATGAGATTGATACTAACAACCAATTAAGTGTTCCTCCTCTTAATGCTGCCGTGCAAAATATGTATGTGGACAACCATCCCTTGATGTATCAGGATGTTTTCAATGGTAATTTGCACTCTCAAACTCCGCCGTTTAGGGTCTTCCCCTCATCTGTTGGATATGGGCACACCCAAAATAAAGAGCAAATGAGGACCGAGGATACTGGACTTGCTGTTGGTAATCATATCTACGGGCATGCACTGGATATGAATGGAAGTTCAGAGGAAATTGCTGGGAATGTGCATCCGTTAGCAGTTGAGGAACCGATCCAAAGCGATTCAAATAAATATGTTGGTAGTCAGTTTGATTCTCTTTATCCGATGTCCCATGATTTCGGTCTCGGAAGTCCACTTGGTTCGATTCCTGACATTGATGACTTCATCTTGGATGATGATGATTTGATGGGGTACTTGGGAACATAAGTAAGTTTACTCATCTTTATTTTTGTTATACTTTGCTTTTTTTTTGCTTTTTAAATGTGCTTATTATCCTTTTTCTTTCTTGGTTTTACAGGGCCATGCCTCCGTCTGTTCTGTGAATTTCTACAGCGTTCTCCATTTTCAGATCTGTAGGATATTAGTTTTTCATAGTCATGACTCGTATGGTAAAATGCTGGACTTTTTTTTTATTGTCATTAATGCCGTTTTAAATGCTAATCGAGGCTCTGAATGACTAGTCTTTTAGTTTAAGGAGTAATGTTAAGTTATCTGAAAGTGTAAATTTAAATTATTTTTTCAAGGACATGCTTCCCAAATAAGTCGTAAGGATTTCCTTTATCTGTTTGCTGAACTGAATATACTCGTCAAACGTCTACCATTGAACAAAATTGGGGACTGCGAATAGTAATGAAAATAGAAAAAATCAAAAGATGAATTAATATTATTTGGTGAGAATATGACACCTTACTACCAAGCACAGAATTTATGTTTAGTACCAAGCATACCCATTTATTATATATATATATATATATATATAGAGAGAGAGAGAGAGAGAGAGAAATATGGAGAACTTTGGTACTAAGTTCTTTCATTGAACTTGGTAGTGAGGCGGACAAATCTGGTCCTTACATCACTTCTCAAAAATAGATTCTCTATTTTGGAGTAGGTGAAAAGTGATTGATGTTCTATTTTCGAGGTGTTCCATTTTTCTCAGCGTGGCTCTTAGCTCTTAGTGACAAATAATTACAACTAATCACATCCAAAATCATCCCCTTCTCTCTAAAAAACCTAGAAATCAAGGTATTAAAGCTCACTACATTGAGAGTCGAGGGGGGATTTGAAGATGTTGAAGAAGGTCTTAGAGGTGTTGGAGAGGAAAGAGGAGCGGAGGAGGGAGGAGAGGGAGAGGTGGAGGAGGAGGAGGAAGGGGATTGAGGGGTTAGGGTTTAGGTTTGGAGCTAATTTATGACGCTGGAAGCCACACTGACAGCCACGTTCACACCACGTGAGGCGTTGCGTGAGAAATTTCGCCGAAAGTTTTGGTCCGGCCAATTTTGAGGCCCATTTGTCGTCGGAGAAAAAATAATATACCAATATGTTGCCAAAAAAAAATATCAAATTGTCACTAAGGGTAAACATAATATATCAATTTGGTATTTTTGCCTTTGGGGGAGTGTCTTTCACATGAGAGAAAAGTTCTCGCAATAATATGTGTTTTTTTTCCTTCGGAATTTGTCAAATTATGATTAATTTAAATTTAAAGAACTTAGTTTAATACGAAAGGTGGAAGTTTATTTTTTTTAATCTCCAAAAACTCTATTAAGAATGAAAGCTTTTTACAAGGACTACACATGACTTAGATATCATTATTTATTACATGTCAAGTAAAAAGTATATATTTAATTAGGATTCTGAAATCTCAATTATATGCAAATCCAAAAATAAAAAAAATGCAACTTACATGTTGTTAACAAAATCATAAGATTCAACCTTTAAACTAAATTGCAAACCAATGATCAAATAGATTGAACTAAAAAGATAAGGCTTCCCGGTCTGTGAATGACTCTTATTTGGGTTTAGCAGATCAAATAGGACTCATGAAAATAAATATAAACAAGGGTCTCTTCTGTAAATATCTCCTTAAATACCGCACGCGGGTAGAAACTCATGAAAAATACTCTATTTTCTGAAGGGGCCTTTCCGCAAAAGCCGAAGTAACAGGTCTTGTGATGGACGGCCCTCATTTATCCACGTGTCACCGAAGCGCCAGCTGCTCTGCAACTCCAGAGTCGGCCGTTATGCGATCGCAACGAAACCAATATTTCCATTATGACCAATCTGCCCCTGACATCGCCGGAGGTTAAACGCTCTTCTTCAAATACGGAAGGGCATTTTTGTCACTCACTCTCCCGCCGAGGGAGCAGAACACTCCCGTCCAAAATGAGGGGCTCTTCTCGTGAATCAGCGTAAAATTGGGGGCTTTCCTGTACAACAGAAACCCTCTTACTGGATGCCACGTGTCCATACAGCTGTGCATCCTCTCCCGCCAGCTCCCCACACTTATTTTTCTATTATAAAAAAAAAAAGAAAATAAACTTTTATTCAAGCTTTTTTTTTCCCCACCCGAGGAAAAAAAAGGCAGTAGAATCGAGCACCATTTATTCAATTTTCTTGTTTGGGATTTTCAATGGCAAGCAGAGGCTCCTGGTTGCTAGCCGCCACCCTCTTCATATCAATGGCTTTCCTCACTCTCGCTTCTCGTACTCTCATTAATCCAAGTAAGCAAATGAGCAACAAAAAAAAAAGTCGTTTTTTTGAAATGTGGGTCTTTTTGTAATTGATGTGTTCTAAAATGGGTTTCTTTCTAATTCTCCATTGCAGGTCTGCATGAAGAAGCGAAGATGGAAGCACCAGCAATGGATAACAGGGTAATTATGAGAAATTTTAAGAGCTCGTTTCTTTTTTTTAAATAAATAAATAATGTTTTTCCCTGATTTTTTATGTATTTTTTTTAGGTTGGGATGGAGGATAGAACGGTGAATAAATCAACGGTTGAAGAATCAAAGAGGCAAGTACCAACAGGCTCCAACCCCGTTCATCACAACAGAGACCCTTTTCACCATTTCCTTTGATTTTCTCTCTCTTTTTTTTTATCTCCTTAAAAAAAATATGTTCTTTGAGATGAAGAGATAATTTGAAATGGCTACTCTTTGTTCGTTCTCATCACCTTATGTATGTAATCTTGTTTCTTTGGATTTAGATGTTGTCGTTGGAAGGAGTATTTTCAGGGATTTGTATGCATTTTTATTTAGTTCTGTTAATTTATTTAATCTTCTTTTATTTTCAATATGCACTGCATCTCTTTATCAAACCCAAAATACTGGTTTTACCATATTTTCCTTTCTTTCTTTCTTTTTATTTTTTTATTTGTGAAAATTGAGCAACTAGATGACAAAAAAAAAGGGGGGACTATGATTAAATATTAATGCATCATGTGCACTTTTTTTTTTTCAAATTATATTTGTCTCGTGCTACTCCATAAGCGCGACGTACCAATCAAAGTGGGAAGAGGCGCCAATGGCCCATTTGGCCCTAGTCTCAATTATGAGCTCTAAAAAGTGTACAAATTGACACTTAAATTAAGGTCCAGACAAAGTGGAAGGTTCTCATGAGCAAAGAAGCAAAGGGTAGCTAGGGTTGTATGTGAATGCAATGATAAGTTAGGGTTTCTATTACTGGATGCCCTCAATTTCGAGGGATTGAGATCCTCTACCAAGGCATAATGTCTCCTAATATCTTCTAATGCATCTCCATCTTTCATTGCGTAGTACCTCCTCGTATTTTGTGCTTATGCACAAAATGAAAAGTGGAGATGCATTAGGAGATATTAGGAGGCATTCTGCCTTAGTAGAGGATCCCAATCCAATTTCCAGAACCTCATCTTAAACTACTTATCCTCGAGAAAATGATTAAGGGGTCTTTAGTTCATAACAAAAGGGTTTTCTTATAGATACCTTAGTTTCCACCTTTGATAGACCTCTAAAAATGTGATTTATGTTACCATTGGATATTTGGGCATGGTGGCATCTGAATATTTGATTTATTTTGTTTCCTCAATGCAGGACAATATTTGCCTAAATACCAATACGTAAAGTTTTTTTTTCTGTCAGATGTGTCTTTCTTAAGTCATTATCATCCTTAAGTCATTATCGTGAAGACTACTATTTTCATGGTTCTTGAAATTGAAATGGAGGGTGCGAATTATGGTAAAATTGGACCCTCTCTACTTACCATCAAATTGAAGAGTAATGGTTAGGTTTAGAGTACCCTATAGTAACCACGATTCGCAATTCAACAAGTTGTTATGCCAATTTTCTCAACACAAAGATAGTAGGAGATAGACTTATTTCCTTTATAAGATAGTAGTTTCAAAGAGATTATTTCATATATTTCTTTTTCTTTTTCTTAACATTCACGGAGATAATATGAGTGTCGGTAAAGTGGGAAAAGAATGTTGGATTTAATCTAATAAATCTATTTGTGGGCACATATGATTAATCAATGTGTATTGCTATCTTTCAGGATAACCCACTAAAGTGATCAATTAAGTTGGGTTAATGGGTATTTAAATATAATCATGGGGTTATATGTGCAGATACAAGGTTGTAATTGTGATTTATTGAGAGGCTAAATTACAAAAGTACAACATCTATAAATAAGGGGTTATGGTCCCTAATCTAGGGTTACTACATTCTCTAATTCTCTTCACCCCCATCTAGGAGAGAAATTCGGCTAAAGAGAAAACCCTAAGGTTAGAAGATCCTATGTGCAGATACCAGGTTGTAATTGTAATTTATTGAGGGGCTAAATTACAAAAGTACAACATCTATAAATAAGGGGTTATGGTCCCTAATCTAGGGTTACTACATTCTCTAATTCTCTTCACCCCCATCTAGGAGAGAAATTCGGCTAAAGAGAAAACCCTAAGGTTAGAAGATCCAAAACCCAAAATCAAGATCAAGCAATGGATTCAGGTATAAGCTTCCGCTCTTTTAGATTTTCATTAATCTCTTTGAATTAATCATAGCTATATGGTTTTAGATCTCAAGTTTTATGATGTAGATCTAACAAGTGGTATCAGAGCCACCTTGATTAATTCTTAGGGATTTAAGTTTTATTGGGTTTTTGATCTTAAATCTCTGGTTAAAGATTCAATTTTTGGGTTCGGATGAACAGTAATGTTCGGTGAACAGTAACGAAAATTTTTTTTCAGGTGAAAAGTAAAGTTTTTTTCGGATGATACAGTAACTGAAAAAATCGCTGGTGAACAGTAACTTTTTGGATTTTTTTAGATTTTTCTTTGATTTTTTCTTTAATTTTTTCCAATTCTGGATCTGTTTTGAAAATAAAAATCAAAGATTTTTTGGGTTCGGCGGCGGTTTCAATTTGAAACCCTAAGGGTTCATGGCGAAAATTGAGGAGGTGGTTACCTCAAACGAACCTTGCGTTTGTTCAATTTTAACCGAGCTTCGCGCTCAACGAACCTCGCGTTCGTTCTAAGGTGAACCTCGCGTTCAACTCAGGTGAGCGTCAAGCTCAATTTTAACGAACCTCGCGTTCGTTCTAAGGTGAACCTCGCGTTCAACTCAGGTGAGCGTCAAGCTCAATTTTAACGAACCTCGCGTTCGTTCTAAGGTGAACCTCGCTTTTTTAACGAACCTCGCGTTTGTTCTCAAGTTGACCGCGTTCATTTTTTTTAACGAACCTCGCGTTCGTTCCCAAGTTGAACCTCGCGTTCTTTTATCAAACGAACCTCGCGTTCGTTCATTTTCAAACAAACCTTGCGTTCGTACTTAAGTGAGTCTCGTACTCAATACAGTCGAACCTTGCGTTCGAAGTTAAGGGAACTTCGTGTTCATTATGGTTAAGCCTCGGCTTTTCATGGGTCCACTTTGGTATACTTAATTTATTCAATTAAGTTATGGGCCCTAATTAAGCTGTGAGACCCCAATTAAGTTTTGGAAATTTAGTTGATTTAATTATTTTTTTTTAAATCTAATTCGGTTCTTAATCAATTATTTAATTCAAATATTATGACACTAAGGTATTAAGGTTGTCTCTCACTCCAATTGATTAATTGAACCAAGAAGTTGCCAAAGTAACCTCTCTTGTGTAGATTGTTCATGAGGAATGTGAGATGTTTGTGTGTATGCTTTCGTGTAAATATTTAATCGGCCCAAAGGAAGGTTAATATTTATTTAGACTGTATACACATCTGCGATGATAAGCGTGTGACAATTATAAGGTTTACATGTGAATAATGAATCGATCCAAAGATAGTTTCATTATTTGACATGAGTTATTGTCAATGTTTGATCATTGCAACAAGGTATCACTTACAAGTTAATATTACTGTCCAAAGACTTGATATTAATGTTGTGCCCGATATCTTGGATGGGGACTGTCATTATTTGAATGATATTGATTATGGTTATTGATGTGAGCTTCTTTTGTTTTATTTCAGCTAATGCATCTGCTGCAACAATTTCTGCTAACATCAACTCAATTCCCATGCTAAATGGGACAAACTTCAAGGTTTGGAAAGAGAACATATTAATTGTTCTTGGCTGCATGGATCTTGACTATGCATTAAGAACTGAACAACCCCAACCTCTCAATGCGGATAGCACTCCTGATGCAAAGAAGGAGCATGAGAAGTGGGAGCGTTCAAATCGCATGAGTCTTATGATCATTAAGCGCGGCGTTCCGGAAGCCTTCAGGGGCATAGAATCCGAAGGGATTACTAAGGCTAAAGATTTCCTTGCCGAAATTGAGAAGCGTTTTGCGAAAAACGATAAGGTAGAAACAAGCACGCTTTTAGCTCGCTTGATTTCAATGAAGTATAAGGGCAAAGGAAATATCAGGGAGTACATTATGGAAATGTCTCATATTGCTTCAAAGCTTAAGGCACTTAAACTCGATCTTTGTGACGAGTTATTAGTGCATCTGGTTTTGTTGTCTCTTCCTGCACAGTTTAACCAATTTAAGGTCAGTTATAACTGTCAAAAGGAGAAATGGACTCTAAATGAGCTCATTTCATACTGTGTGCAAGAAGAAGACAGGTTGAAGCAAGATAAGACAGAAAGTGCTCATTTGGCCTATGCCTCTAAGGATAAGGGCAAGAAAAGGAAGAATGATAAGGAAGCTGCTAAGGGTCCAGTTGAGAAGAAACAACATAAGGATAATCAGGGTTGTTTCTTCTGTAAGAAGCCTGGACATGTAAAGAAGGACTGTACAAAATATCACGCCTGGCGTGATAATAAGGGTACGTTCCTTGCTTTGGTCTGTTCTGAGGTTAATTTAGCTTCAGTACCTAGAAACACTTGGTGGTTAGACTCTGGTGCTACTACTCACATAAGTGTTTCTATGCAGGGTTGCCTGAGCTACCGAAAGCCAAGTGATGTTGAAAGACACATCTTTGTGGGCGACGGACAATCGGTAGATGTGGAAGCAATTGGGCACTTTAGGTTGTTGTTAGGAACTGGTTATTATTTGGATTTAAAAGATACTTTTGTAGTACCGTCTTTTAGACGGAATTTGGTTTCTGTTTCTGTATTGGACAAATCAGGTTATTCTTGTTCATTTGGAAACAGTCAATTCAGTTTATCTTTTAATTCAAATGTTGTGGGAACCGGTTACTTGAGTATTTATGACAACCTATATTTGCTTGATACAATTGCTTCTTACAATGAATCCTTGCATGTGGAATCACGTGGTACTAAGCGTAAATTAAATAAGGAAAATTCGGCGACATTATGGCATAAGCGCTTAGGTCATATCTCAAAAGGTAGAGTTGAGCGTCTTGTGTCTGATGGCATTTTGGATTCCCTTGATTTTTCGGACTTCGACGTATGTGTTGAATGTATCAAGGGAAAACAGACCAAAGTGAAGAGATTAGGTGCCAACAGATCTTCGGATGTCTTAGAATTGATACATACGGATATTTGTGGGCCATTCCCTACGGAATCCTGGAATGGTCAACAATATTTTATATCATTCATAGACGATTACTCACGTTATGGGCACCTATATCTTATTCATGAAAAATCTGAGTCTCTGGACATGTTCAAAGCCTATAAAGCTGAAGTTGAGAATCAACTCAACAGAAGAATTAAAACCGTCAGATCTGATCGTGGTGGTGAGTACTACGGTAGATATGATGGTTCAGGTGAACAACGTCCAGGACCATTTGCTA